TGTGTCTGTCATTGTACCAGTACCACACTGTCTTGATTACAATGGCAGTGTAGCAGGATTTGGAATCAGGGAGTGAGATGCCTCCTAACTTGTTTCTCTTTTTAAGGAGTGTTTTCCTTATTCGGGGCCTCTTTCCATTCCAAATGAAACTGGAGATTGCCTTTTCCATCTCGTTGAAGAATGGGATTGGTATTTGTATTGGGATTGCACTGAACGTGTAAATTGACTTTGGTAGTATTGTCATTTTTAAAATATTGAGTCTTCCTATCCATGAGAAGGAATATTCTTCCATTTCTTCAGGTCTCTTTTTTGTTTCTTGTATTAATGTTTTGTAAATTAGCTATTGTGAATGGTATTGTTTTTCTTAGCTCCAGTTCTGTATTATCTTTGTCACTGTAGAGAAATATAATTGATTTTTGTATGTTGATTTTGTATCCTGCCACTATGCTAATTGGTCAACTATGTCCAATAGTTTTCTTGCTGAGTCTTTAAGGTTTTCTAAGTATACTATCATATCATCTGCATATAGAGATAATTTTACCTCCTCTTTGTCTATTTGGATACCTCTTATTTCCTTCTTTTGTCTTATTACTATTGCTAAGACTTCCAATACAATAATAAGTGAGGTGATAGTGGGCATCCTTGCCTAGTTCCTGTTCTTAATGGGAATGCCTTTAATCTCTCTCCATTGAGAACAAAGTTGGCTCTCAAGTTTGCATATATACTTTTTACCTTGTTGAAGAAATTCCCCCCTAGAGGGAGCTCTGGTGGCCTAGTAGCAAGAAGCTGCACTGCAATCCCAGAGGTACACAGTTTGAATCCACCAGATGCTCTGCTGGAGAAGGAGGGGAAATCTCCTCCTGTACCAGTCAGATCTGATTTGATGGTACACACACAAAAAAGAAAAAAAAAAGACATTTCCCCCCTAATCTTACTTTGTTGAGTGTTTTAATCAGGAAAGAGTGTTAGATTTTGTCAAAGGTGTTTTCTGCATAAATTGATAGGATCATGTGGTTCTTGTTCTTTGCTTTGTTAATGTGATGAATTACATTCATAGTAAGTGTGATTATTTTCAGGCAAGTTTTACTTTTGCCATTTTGCTGTTGTTTCTGGTTACTGTGGTCATTCACTTTCTTTGGCATTTCTGTGCATAAGGCTTCATTTAAAATTTCTTGTTAATTTGATCTTGTTTTCACAAATTCCTTAAGGTTCTTCTTTTTCTGCAAAGAATTCAATTTCCCCTTTGAATTTGATAGAGAGCTTTGCTGGATATAGGCTCCTTGGCTGTCAGTTGTTATCTTTCAACTTTCTGTATATGGCATCCCATTGCCTTCTAGCTCACATGGCTTCTGCTGAACAATCAAAATTTAATCTAATTGTTGTCCCTTTGTAGGTGACTGTTTTTTTTCATGCTGCTTTTAGAATTCTATTCCAAGCTTTTATTTTGGAAAATTTGACTATGATATTTCTTGGTGTTTTTCTTTTGGGATCTAATCTATTTGGTTTTTGCTGTGCTTCTTGAATGAGGATTTCCCCATTCTTCAAAATGCCTGGGAACTTTTCTTCTAGTACTTCTTCCACAATCTTCTCAGTGATTTCCCTGTCACTCTCATGTTCTGGAATTCCAATTATACGTATATTATTCCATTTGTTGCCATCCCACATAATTCTAATGTTTTCTTAATTTTCTTTAAGTTTCATCTCTGATTTTTCTTCAAGTATGTTTCTAGTGAAGCTCTTGTCTTCCAGCTCACTGTCTATTCTAGCTCTTCAGCTCGACTTTTTTAGTGCTACCATCATGTTGGATTCCTCTGCCATTTCGGTCTTAATATTCTGGATTACATTTTGATGCTTTTCTGTTATTTCCAGTACTGTGTTGCCTGTACCCTCCCTGTTTTGTGATAGGTTTTTAATTTCTTGTACCTCTTTTACTGTTCTGTCAATTTTTTCTTTCATCTTTTTTGTTTTCATCCATATCTGTTCAAGTTTCTCCTCAGCTATATATTTCTTCTGTATTGTTGTCTCTGAAGTATTTGCTCTCGTATTGACTTCCATTGTTTCTTCCCACATTTGCATCTTTTTTAAGTAAATCTACATCAATATGTTTCTTCTGGTTCTCTCTATCTAGGGTATTCTTTGGACCTTCTTTTTTAGGAGAAGGGTCATTTTGTTTTTCCATAATGGCTGATGTGGATTGCTGCTTTCTTGACATTATGGGTTTCTTTTCTTAGAAGATATTAGGCTGTTATAACTATAAAATTGCTCAGGTATAGCAGTGTTTTGTGAAGCATCTACAGATTTTTTTTTCCCCATAAAGTACCTGAATGACAAATTCCCTTTTGGAAATGGCTTCTTGTCTCTGTCGAGGTGCCTAGGACCTCCCTGTTTCTTGAGTTAAGGGGTCCCGTGTGGTCAAGGTAGACAGCAGTTTCCACCTTCCCCAAATAACTGTGGGAGCAGCACTGGCAGCACCTGTATTGAGTTTAACATGTAGATTGCTTTTGACAGGACTGTCTTTCATTTAATTTCTTAAAGGTCACATTAAATGTTTTTCCTTGAAATTAAAAGAAGAAGGCTGAAAGTTAAAAATAATCTAGTAGAAAACTGTTCATTACTAAATAGCATTATTAAATGAGTAAAGAATATGTTTAGTAAATAGTTGTTGTTGTTGTTAAGTACCGTCAAGTCATAGGTGACTCAGAGCAACCCTATGAATGAAAGACCTGAACACTTGTATAACTTTCATCCTTTCTCCAGGTTCATAGGGTTTCTGGAGGCAAGATATTTCAGAAGTGGATGCCACTCCTGCCTCCAAGCTTGTTTTAATTGGGGAGCTCCACCAAACACTGTCCACCATGGGTAGCCATTATCATATCTGACACATCAGTGTCACAGTGTTCAGTTTCACAGCAACCATAAATTACCTCTGTAAGGCAAGTGGACACGCGAGGGCTATACAACCTAGAATGTTTGACCAAAAACAATTAAAAACAGGCCTGAGGCCATGGATCAAAGTCACTTATCTTTGGCTTGGTAGCATCACTTTCTGTCCACTAACCCAACTGATCTCTTTTTATGCTGAACTTTACTTGGTAAGTAGATATTGTTGTTGTTGTTGTTGTTATGTGCCGTCGAGTCATTTTCGACTCATAGTGACCCTATGCACAACAGCCCTAAACCCTGCTCTATCCTGTGCCAACTGCACTGCCTCCGACACACCCATCCCGATTACCCCAGTCACCGAATCAATCCATCTCATAGAGGGTCTTCCCCTCCTGAGCTGTCCTTCCACCCTCCCAAGCATGATGTCCCTCTCCAAGGACCCGTCCCTCCTGGCAACATGTCCAAAGTATGTCAGACGAAGCCCCAGAATCCTTGCCTCCAAGGAGCAGCCTGGTTTAATCCTCTCCAAGATTGATCTGTTTGTTTTCCTGGCAGTCCATGGTACATTCAGTACTCTTCTCCAGCACCACAGCTCAAAAGCATCCACTCTCCTTCTGTCCTCCCTAGTCATTGTCCAACTCTCTGATGCATAACAAGCGATTGCAAAGACCATGGCCTGTATCAGGCGCACCTTAGTCTCCAGAGAGACACCGTTGCTCCTGAGTACTTTAGAGAGGTCCCTAACAGCAAACTTTCCCATCGCGATACGCTTTTTGATTTCCTGACTGCTGGTGCCAAGAGTGTTGACTGTGGAGCCGAGCAAACTGAAGCTGTGAACAAACTCAATCTCTTTGCCATCCATCCTGACGCTGCCAATTGGTCCAGTGGTGAGAATCTTTGTCTTCTTGACGTTGAGCCTCAGTCCATACTGAAGGCTGCAGTCCCTGACCCTTCGCAGCAAGTGCATGAGGTCCTCCTCAGTTTCAGCAAGCAGGGTTGTGTCATCTGCATAACCCAGATTGTTAATAGATCTTCCACCAATCCTGATGCCACAATTCTCCTCATAGAGGCCAGCCTCTCGGATAATCTGCTCTGCATACCTGTTGAAAAGGTATGGAGACAGGATGCATCCCTGGGTACATCCTTCCCAATTTTGAACCATGCAGTGTTACCCTGCTCTGTTCTGACTACTGCCTCTTGATCCAAGTACAGGTTTCGCATTAGCACAATTAAATAATTTGTTTTATGTAATATCTACTTGAATGATCAAGTAGATATTACATAAAACAAATTGTTAATAAAACAGAGCAGATGATATAAATTGTGAATTTTTTAAAACAGTCATTGTTTATATCTCTCCTTGGAAAGGGATTTCATGCTTGGAAGGGTAAAGGATCGGCAAAAGAGAAAAAGACCCCATTGAGATGGATTGACATGGTGACTGCAGCAATGAGCTCAAGTGTATCAGGGATGGTGAGGATAGCACAGGATAGGACGGGATTCAGGTCTTGTTTTATAGAATTGCTGTTAGTTGTACTTGATTTGATGGCACCTAGTAATCAAAATGAGCTCTGCTGACTTGTTGAGATATGTGCCTTTTCTGCAGGCAGTTCAGCGCCTTAACAATAGGGTATGTTGCCAACCCAAAGGTTACCAGTTTCATCAGCTGCTCCGTAGGTAAAGATGGGCAGTCTTCTCCCTTGAGATTGGTTCTAATTTGACTGCACACCACAACAATAGACATTCTCATAATATTGTCTAATGAAATTATTTACAAATCTTAATCCATAAGACCATTATGCTTATTCTCTGAGAATAGGATGCTTATTACATATATGAATTATTATGAGGACTTAACTGATGCAAGTTGTAATTTTAAAAAAAAAAGTAAGTATATGCCTATTTAAGGGGAGCTCTGGTGTCCTACTGGCAAGAAATTGCCCTGCAGTCCTAAAGGTGCGTGGTTCAAATCCACCAGATGCTCCACTGGAGAAAGAGGGTCAGTTTCCTCCTGTGCTAGTTGAATCCAATTCAGGGTTACACAAGAAGAAACAGTGGTAGTGGGAAAGCATTGTTAAGAAATAAGTATATGCCTATTTAAATTTCTCCCCCTACAGAGCATGGAAAATACTTTAGACGTTATGGAACATTTAACAAATAATATTAAAGAAAAATTATTGGAGAAGCAGTCTTATTCAAGTCAGCTAAATAAAGACATTGATGATCAGAAGCCAAAATTGGACAGAGTAACTAAACAGGTACTTCCCTCTTTTAAAAACTGGTCTTAGGTATTTTCATGTTCCAAATGGAACCTTTATGCATTAACAAAATATGTGAATTTCTGGAAAATATTTATATAATCAATATTATTGTTCAACAGTGTTCAAAACTCACCAAGGAAATCCGTGTTATGAAAAAGTCTCTAAAGGAAGTGCTAGAAGAAAAAGACATCAAACTTCGTGAAGTGAAACAGTTTCACAAGATGATTGATAAAATGTTAGTTGATGTTACAGAAGAAAATCCTGATATTCGTATAATCCTTCAAACATACTTTCAACAGGTAGTAACAGTCTCTTAAGTATAAACATTTCTTAAACAGAGCTTCCATCTTAAAATAAAATACATTTTTCTTCTAAAGTGCAGTACTAATGATCACTATTGCATATTCTTCCAGAGTGGTTTAGAACTACCGACAGTTAGTGCTAAAAGCAGTCGCCAGAGTTCCAGGTCTTCACAGTCATCACTGCTGTCAGACAGGTAAGCGGAGGGCTAAACACATCTCTTTAATTGTTCCAACTGCTGCCTTAAGTGGATCCAGTCACTTTCACATCAGCACAAGCGATGTGTTGAGCCTGTCCGTGCACTGATAGTGCTTCGCTGGGCTTGGTGTCAGTGCCACTCACTGATGCAGAAAAGCTAGCAACAGGGCAAAACCCTTTCCTTCTGGCTCCTGGGTTTTTCTTTCAAATCCAGGACCACTGACATCAAGTTGATTCCAACTGTAGGACAAAACGGAACTGCCTATAGGGTTTCTCAGACCAAATCTCAGACTACCTCATCTCTCTCTCTAGCAGAGCAGACCGTGGGTTTGACTTTTTGGTTAGCCACTGAATACTCTGCCCACTAACTCCCTGCAGGGCTCCTGCACTGGTTGCTGTGAACTATTTCAGGAAATTGGAGTATTTCATTAGGCACAACAGAATTCCAAGTTGGGACATTTTTACATTATGAAAAAGCAACTTCTAGGTTTAGACATGTAGAGATGTATATGATGCTTGTCATTAAGCCATGCTAATAGGCTTTGATTTTATTATGATGCTTAACTTGCTGAGCTTAATTTAACTTAACTTAACTTAACTTAACTTAACTTAACTTAACTTAACTTAACTTAACTTAACTCTGCTCCGCGGTCAACACTCTTGGCACCAGTAGCCAGGAAATCAAAAAACGTATTGCGATGGGAAAGTCTGCGGTTAGGGACCTCTCTAA